GGGAAGGGACTGAGTGGGGTTGTGCTGCCTGCGGGGCCGGGTTCTGGGTTGACAGGCCCAGGGTGGTTGGTCAGAGTTAGGGGGACCAGGACGGATGGGTGCAGACTCCTTGGGGGCTCAGCAGGATCAGCTGGACCACCCTGAGGCCTGACCTGCTCTCTCCCCATCTCTGTTGCAGAACACAGATCTGTTTGAGATGATTGAAAAGATGCAGGTGAGGCTGGATCCATTGCCCGTTCCTGGGAGCCACAGACGGGCTGGGCTGGGGGTGGCAGGCCCTGGCTACCTCTCCTGCCCCACACCTCTCTGAAGACAGGCCATGCAGGGAGGAGATGGTGGCAGTGTGCTGTCCAGAGCTCTCTGTCCAGAGTAGAGGATGGGGACTGGTAGGGCCCAACTCCCTATCTGACCTGGGGGTCCAGGTTCCACTTGTGTGCCTCCCTACCTTCCACTCCCCTCCTCTCACAGAGCTGGGTTCTCCACTTCAACCCCCCAAGAGGCATCACAGACTCTGCAGGCCCCCCCACCCCATCCTGTAAAATGGGAGGAGGGGCAGATGCCAGGGCTCAGGGCAGCCAGAGCTGTGCTGCAGGGAGGAGGAGGTGTCGATGAGCTAGGCAGCCCCGCCCCCTCTGCCTGACCCCTGCCCACCCTCCACTGCCCAGCCCTGGGCTTCCAAGCCCTTGTCTGTTTTTTGCAAGGGTATGTGCTGGGAGGTGGTCAGGGGGCTGGGACGAGTGGGAAAAACCGCAGGAGCTTTCCCTAATGTCAGTTCACCCCCTAAACCCTCTCTCCTGCCCCTTCCTGTTTCTCTGCCTCTCTTATTTAGTCTTTCTGTGTCCATCTCTCCCCTCCTCCTCTCTTTTTCTTTCTCTCCTCCTCTTTCCCTCTCCCTCTCCGGGTCTCTCCCTCCCTCCCCCTCTCTCTCAACAACACGTATCTGTGTAGATGCAATAGCCGTCCTCCCAGCTCCCCACACTCACACAGGCACGCGCACACCACCCCTGCCCCCACTCCCAGCGGCAGGCATTCCCGCACAGAGCCCCCGGCCCCTCCCTGCCGCCGCCTCCCACAGCCCAGGTTACTTCCCAGCAGGACCGCCAGGCCTGCAGAGAGGCCTGAGTGAAGCAGCACCCTGCCAGGGAGTACCCCACCTGGGCGGACTTTCCCTTCGACACAGGAAGGGCTGGGAGCCCAGGGGAGGTGGCCCTGCAGCGAGCCCGAGAGGGGTGTGAAGGGCGGGAGGGGTGTAACAGGAAGTGCTGCCCTCTCTTTGCAGGGAAGCAGGATGGATGAACAACGATGCTCCTTCCCACCACCCCTCAAGGTAGGTCTGAACCATGACCACCCTACCCATCCTTGGGCTTCCTCAGCAGCCTCTCCAAAGGGCTTGGGGACCTGGGCTGGGAGCAGCAGGCAGACTCCCTCCCTTGGGTGGGGGTGGGCCCCTCCTACCACAGCTGCTCACCAAGCAGCCAGGCCAGGAGAACCCATCCCCTCATGTAGTCCTCCTAGGGGCTGGGTGCTGGGGTACCCAGCTCCGTCCGGTCCGGCCCTCTAGGAGTTCTGAGATGTGTGGAGCACCCCTCCCTTGCTATAGGCCTGGGGCCTTCAGTCCAGCTCCTCCCCACGAGTCTTCAGCACTGCGAACTCTCCCTGCCTCTCCAGGCCTCCCCGCCCCGCGTCGAAGCCCCATCCCTCACAAGACGGCCTACTAAACGGTTTTCCTGGAAGCCGGTTATGATAAGCAGTTGTAGAAAGACTCAAACTCCTGCTCCCTGTAGCTCCTACCTGAAAGGCTGAGGGGGAGGGGATATGGGGAGAGGTAGCCTGCTTGCCCCCCATCCTCCCATGAGGAGCCGGACAGGAAGCCGGGGACTGAAGGGGATGCAAGGAGGCTGTTGTTGGGTCTCACATTTTTCTTGGGGGGGCGGGGGGGCTGCATATAGCCTCTCCAGGTAGGCATGTGGTTCTCTGGTTGGTGATTTGGGACCCCAACCATCCAAGAAGACTGGCAGCTGGGCCTGGGGGAGTGGGCTCAGGGCTGCAGCGGGGAGAATTAAAGGGGGTTCATGGGCATAAGCCTGATCTTTGTCCAGGGCAGGGGTTTCAAAGCAAGCGTGGTCCTCAGACCAGCCCCATCACACACTGGAGCTGTGAGATGTGAATCTGCCCCCCCCCCCCCCCC